ATTGATAGAGTTGCACACCACCGCATTTTATCTTTTATGGATGGACATAGTGGCTATAATTAGATCTTTATTACAAAGGATGACATATTTAAAATGGCATTTCACTGCCCTGGAAACATAGGTATGTATGAATGGCTTGTGATGTTATTTGCATTAAAAAATGTATAAGCTACATACCAATGGGCCATGAATGCAATTTTTAATGACATGATTGGTCGCTTTATGGAGATTTATATCAATGATGTTGTAGTCAAATCCATGGAGGAGGAAGAAAATTTGGAGCACTTGAGGAAAGCTTTTGAAAGGATGTAGCAATATGGTTTAAAGATGAATTCTCTTAAGTGTGCTTTTGGTGTCACTGTAGGAAACATTTTGGGTTTTTTGGTTCATGAATGTGGTCTGGAAGTGGATAAAAATAAAGCAAGTGCTATAATTGAAGCGTGGCCACCGCAAAATAAAAAGGAATTGCAAAGGCTCCCATGGTTAGGTTAATTTCCTAAAGAGGTTTGTTTCTAATTTGGCAGGCAGAACTCATGTTCTTTCACCTCTTTCGAAGTTGTAGCCTGATGCAAATTTTAAATGGGAGAGGCAGCACTGAGTCATGTTTGATGCCATCAAGGAATACTTGTCCAAACCACTTGTGTTGGTTTCTCCGATTAAGAATAAACCATTACTACTGTATATATTTGTTATAGATAAGTCAATTGGCTATTTGTTGGTGCAAGAGAATAATAATAAACAAAAAAAAGCTGTTTATTATTTTAGTAAAGCTTTAAATTTGACCGAAATGAAATATTCTTTAGTTGAAAAATTGTGTTTGACTTTGTTTTTTGTAGCAATAAAATTGAGGCATCATTTATTATATTTGGAGGTGTTTGTTGTTTCAAAAACTGATATCATAAAATATACACTATCGCAGCCTATTTTAAGAGGCCGCATTAGTAAGTAGATTCTTACACTTACCAGATTTAATTTGAAATATTTTCCTTGTAAGGCCATTAAAGGACAAGCCCTAGCATATTTTTAGTAGATTATCCTTGTTTAGATGTTGACGTTGATGAAGATAAAGGAGTCAATCTCTTTTCTATTAACTTGGTTCCTTGGAGGCTTGTTTTTTATGGGTCTAGTACAAGTCAAGCCTCTAAGGCTAGAATTGTTATTGTTTCTCCAAATGGCATAAAAACCTAATAGTGTTCCAATAGTGTTTTCAATTGAACTTTGAATGCACTAATAACCAGGTAGAATATGAGGCTTTAGTAATTAGTCTTGAATTGTTGGTGGAATTAAAAGTCCCTTTGGTTGAAATTATGTGTGATTTTCAATTATTTCTCAAACAATTGAGTAGTGAATACAAGCGCACAAGCGTACAAGCGTAGTTTTGTCTCTATATTTTGCCATTGTTATCTAGTATTGGAGGAATTTGATGATATCTCTTTGTAGCATATTCCTCACAACTTGAATATTGAAGCAAATGAACTTGCACAAAGTGCTTCAGGTGTGAAAATCCTAAAGGCATCTTGGAGAAGGTGATTGTCATTGAAAAATGTATGTTGCCTTCAATTTGTCAAAGAGGGATTGTGGTGGAGACATGCTCATTAGATATCACATCGACAGATTGTAGGCATCAATAATGGAATATTTGAGGAATCCTATTTCTAAAACATCAAGAAGAACAAGGATGCAAGCTTTAAATTATGTGCTATTAGGAAATGTCTTATATTGTAAAAGGCAGAATGCATTATGTTGTGCTGCCTTGGTCCTAATGAAATTTGCCATGTGATGTCAAACATTTATAATGGTATCTATAGTGCTCATTAAGTAGGGATTAAGATGAGATGGCTAATTCGTAGGCATGGTTTCTTTGGCCATCTATTCTTAAGGATTACATTAGTTATGTGAAGGGTTGTAGAGCTTGTCAGTTGTATGGTCCTTTGCAGCAAGTGCCAACATGGTCCTTTGCAGCGAGTGCCAGCATTTGAATTACATCCTATTGTCAACCTATGGCCTTCCAATGGTTGTGCAATTAATTTAATTGGGAAAATTTATCCATTTTCTTCTAAAGATTACTCTTTCATACTCGTTGTCACGGACTATTTTACTAAGTGGGTGGAGGCAAGGCCTATGAAGGTTGAGTAAAGAGATGTTGTCAAGTTTGTAAAAGAGGATCTGGTCCACAAGTTTAGGCTTTCAAAGACTATCACTTCTAATTAAGGTATTGCCTTTGTTGGATCTCAGGTAGAGGCTTTTACAAAGGACATGGGATTTCGCTTGCTTAACTTAACTCCACATTATGCACAAGCAAATGGGTAAGCAAAGGCATCTAATAAAGTTGTTATCAACATCTTGGAGAAAATGGTTGATCATAACCCCAAAAGGTGGCATAAGCTCTTTTAGATACTCTTTCGGCATACAGAACCTCATAATAGAGTTTAGCTAAGGTGATCTCATTCTCGTTTACTTATGGTCATGATGTTATCTTGCCCATGGAATTAACAATGAGGTCTTTGCAGATTACAATTCAAAATGGCCTGAATTCTAGGGAATATAATGAAGCCATGATCATGGAGTTAGAGGACCTTGAAAAGGCAAGGCTAACAGCGTTGGATGTGATAAAGGTATAGAAGCTTAAAGTGGCACGGGCTTATAACAAAAGGGTCAAGCATAAGAGTCTGGCTGAAGGAAGCTTGGTTTAGAAAGCTATGTTGCCACTTAGCAAGAGAGATCCCAAATATGGTAAATGGTCCTCTAATTGGAAAGGACATTCCAAGTTTATAAAGTTCTTAAATGATGTGCTTATTAGTTAAATCCTTTGAATAGGGAGTTGCATTTGCGTAAGATCAATGGAATCTACTTAAAACCATACTATCCAATTGTGTGGGAGGCATAGGATGGCCATGCCTCCCCATCTACGTGATCTAGGTTTGTAGATATTTGTATATTATTTCGTTAAAGTTGTTTTTCTTTTAATAGAGGCACATAGAGTTTTGGCCTAGGCTATAGAAGCACAATTAGGTTTGGTGTTGCCATAAGGGCATGGTATATTCTCATATTCCTGTTTCAAAGCGACCTTGTTTATAAAGCTATGGGTAGCGTAATAAGCAATCAAATAAATTCATCCTTTCATCATCCATGACAAAAGAAGGAAAAAATAAAAGAAAGTCTAGAGACAAATGTTTAAGCAGGTTTATGGACATGACAAGGATGAATAAATGTTCAAAATAAATAAATAACTAGCAAGGGTTCTACTTCCAGTTGGCCCACTCATTTCTTATTTACTGTAGTGTGTTATTGGCTTCTTTTACTTTCTCCTCTTGTTGTGTAGCCTCATCCTTTGTTGCTAATACTTCACACCTTTCTTCCTTAAGCTTAAGCAACAATTTGGTCCTCTCAACTTTGAGGGATCTGAGGTTGTCTTCTTCCTTTGCTAATACCTTTCTCAACTCAACAAGGCAGGCCTTTAGTTTGTCAATCTCATCTAAATTGTCTTAGTGCTACTTAGTTTGGGTGTTAAGAGTAGTTCTCACCTTTTCATAAATACTCTTTCTTCTCCAATGTTTCTTTATACTGTGAGTAATATCTGCAGCCATAGATGCAAGCAATGTTCATCCATCCATGCTTACCAAGCCATTACTCCTAGTTTATCTATTCCTATAGTTTATTTCGAATAATCCCCATGGGCTTGGGTTCATGGGTTTATATTCATTTGCATCAAAGGGAAAAATAAAGATGAATATTTGTTCAAATATGTAAGTGTAGAATATGTGCGTATTTGTTGTAAAGAAGAATACTCTCTTGCATATTGAACAGGATAATGTGAGTAGATATCGTTTCCATTTGTCATGGAAAGCGCTCTATATATCTAGCGATGTGTTAAAATAAAAGATGTATAGCATAGATGTATGCTGCAGTATTATTTTATTCAGTCAAGTGCCGTTGGTTAACTATATTTACTAACACATGAAAATGTAAGTTGGGATTATCTATAACTAATAACTTTATCCCTTTTGTGTAGAGATTTTCAGCCAGTTGCCACCCCATAGGTTCGAAATGAAAAATCCTCTGAGATTGATCAAGACACCAAGGTTAATCTTTCCTATTATGGAAGTTTATTTGGTAGCTTGCTTTATTTAACTACTAGTAGGCCAGACCTTTGTTTGCAGCAAGTTACTTATCAAGATTCATATCTGAACCTAGTAAAGCCTCATTTAGTTGCATCCAAGAGAGTTCACAGGTACATCAAAGGAACCTATGAAATTGGCTTGTGGTGTGACATAGAGGAAAAGTTACAGGGGTATTGAGATAGTTATTGGACGGGTTCTATGGAGGATATGATAAGCACAATAGGTTTCGCTTTTTTATTTGGTTCTAGGTGTTTTTCTTAAAATTCTAAGAAGCATGAACTTATGGCTCAGTCCACTGCTGAGGCTGAAAATTTAGTAGCTGGAATCGCAGCAAATCATGCAGTTTAGCCCAATATGGTGCTAGAAGAACTTGTTTTGAATAGATTGAACCTTGTATGCTTAAGGTGCATAACATGTCAGTAATTGCTATTAGTCAAAATCCAATCCAATATGGTAGGAACAAATACATCAAGATCAAATACCATGTTGTTCGAAATTATGTTAGAGATAGAGAAATTGTTTTGCAGCATTTTGATTCGGAAGTTTATGCTGCAGAGATCCTAAAAAAAGGCTTTCCCTAGGCAGAAGATTGAAGATTTCGGAGACATGCTTGGAGTTATAAAGCAGAATTGATTTTTAGATTTGTAACTGTTGGAATTGCTATCTAAAGTTATTTTTCCAATACTATGAAAATCATGTTTAGTGGTAGTTATTTAACTTCCTTTTGTTCATAAACTGCCATGTATATGTTGCTTATGTTTGGCAGCTGTTATGAATGAAATTAAGAGAAAAAACTGAGCCCCACATTCTACAAGTTCAGCACCTGACTTCAGTTATTCACCACTTTTCGTTAATTGTTCATGGTCCTTTTGTTTTTGATACTTACAAACAATTTTATTAACGGAGTAGAGGACAGGTTATTGGCCCATCTAAGACAATCACCCGAGGCATACAAAGGGAAACTCTACAACACAAAGAACAAGGTGTTGCTCCACATAGATGATCATGCACGAAATACAAAAGAACTCTCAGATACAAATGGAAATCCAAAAGAAGAAACAGAAACAACAGCAAATGGAAATAGAAAGCAAATTACATCTTTTCAGAGACAGACTAACCCCATAGACCTTCACTGAATGGCTTGTCACCAAACCCTTTGGCAAAGTCTTTGACCGTCTTGCACTCTTTTAAACAACTCAGGTAAGCCTCAACTTTTGCGATGTCAGCATCCATTTTCTCAGCTTCTTCGCAAACTTTCATACCAATGTATCGATGTGCTATAGTTTGCTTCAGATGCCTCATGGCAAATTCCACTTTAAAGTTGATACATAAAGCATTCTTGATTGCAACTCCCCACTTCAACACGGTTTCCTCTGTGACTTTCTCAACTGGTAGTTCATCCATTTCTTTGATTGTTGCACAGAACAGAATATAGATATCTTCAGCATAGTTGGGACTAATTGTGCTTGTTGCACAAACATCACCATGAACCTTAGTGATTTTTTCAGCAGTAGGTACTAAAGACAATGGGATTTGGTACTTCCCAACTGTTCTGCACTCCTGCTTCTCATGCAAGTCTGTGAAGTCATTGAAACCAATTTTGCTCTTTTCGTTTTCCTCAAGTTTCCTAAAAAATACAGCTGCAGCTGCAGCTGCAGGCACAGTTGCATTGCATGGTTGGAATGCTAACCACTCCTGCACTAGGAATGGCAATGAGCCGAGTATCAGATATTTACTTTGATAAATAAAATTACAATTCTAACCAAATTAGAGGCATTGATATATTAATGTTGTCATTCAGACATAAATTCCAGTTTTGTTTCAGGCTGAAGAAAAAAAGTTATCACAACAAGCCTGATTGATTTATGAAAAGTGAATAAACAAGCAGCAAAGTGTACCTAGGAAGTAAATAAGGAAAGAGAAGACATCAGCAGGAAAAAGACATCTGTAGCTATCAATCATAAAGCTCAATTTAACAGGTGGGGAGGGATTTGAGAATAGGGGAGGGTTATTCCCTCTTATATATAGTCCATAATCAGATGTACCAAAAAGAAAAAAAAAAATAAAATAAAGCTCAGTTTAAGGAGAAGGAAACAGAAAATATCAGCAAGAAAAAGGAATCTGCAGCTCTCAGTTTAAGGAGAAATCAAGCAACGCTCCTGTAAATGATTTATGGCATACATTTAGGATCTAGACATATTCCTGTACGTATATATCTTGATCTACTTTCTATAGAATCATCCCAATTCAAATACAACACAGTATTCCCTAAACTCTTTCTTTTCTTTCTTTTTCTTCATGATTGTCTAAGAGATAAAAACACAGATAGAAATAAATTTTAATTGTCATTCACATACCATATAAAGAGAGTCCCTCGACCGTCAATACTAAAGTTGAATATAAAAACCACAAAGAAAACAACTGAAATTGACTAGATGTATCACACACACACACATATATATATATAACCACTTAAATTTACGTACAAAAATCAAAAGCAACGACTATTTCAGAAAGTCTAATTGATAATGCAAAGGTCTAAGCATTTGACATTACCATGATCATTTGCTCAACATGTTCGCTTTGTCCCTGCACATTTGTTTGCAATTCATGTCCCTGGGATTTCAGCTCGTTGATTTTCTTTTCTAACTGTTGGATATATTTTAACTGGCTTTCATTTACTGACTGCAATGCCGCTGATTGCTTCTCTATATCCTCCTTTGCTTCTATCGCGTTCTTCAAAACACCCTTTATTTTGCAGAGTAGAAAGTAAAATAAAAAACTGAGTATATACTTCACCAAAGAGGAAAAATAAACCAGTGTTTAGTTCTTTTACCTTCACTTTCAGACGATGCTTTTTAAGAGTTATCTTTCTGTGTTCCTTCCTCTCAGACGGGGTTAGTTTGGGTTTATGACCTCTTCTATTTTTTCTGGCCGAAAGATTACCACCGCTTCTACTGGGCTCAGGGGATGGCTCTGCTGCTTGATTTAACGAGTGTCCATGGTTGGGTTCAACATGAGGCAACAATTCTGGTTCTGGTATTTCGTGCTGCGGATTACGATCTTGAACAGGTCCCTGATCTGTGTTTTCTGGCGACCAATTAAAATCTTCACTTGGATTGGTTTCATTAATTTTGGACAAATTTTTCCAAAATTCATCATCAATCCAAGAATTATTACCCATTCTATCAAAGCAACTTTGACTGCAAAACAGGAGAAAATCGAGCAAGTCAATTCTACCATCAAAGCTAGGTCTATAAGCGTAATGAAATCTAGCTCCATCTTCCAGAAACAGAAAACATATATATATAAATAAGCGTAATTAAGTTTAGCTTAGAACAAGACTTCTTTTAACAGAATAATCACACAAGGAATTAAATTAAGATGAAAATTAAAAGAATATCTCTTCTAAAAGCAACTGAAGCATTAATTCCATAGTAATAATAGCCGATTTTAATGGTATCAGATTCAGAACCACAAGAACAAGTAAGGTGAAAACAGTGCTTACCTGTGGAAGTCTAGCCTTCATGATCTTCTTCTCCTTTCTCAGTCCTCGCTTTAGTACCAGCACTCCAGGTTTATAAGAAAACTGCAGAGAATTCTAGCTGTAGAAGATGTATGGATGACTTCTTAAGAGCTTAAATAAAAGGGAAAAAGAGGGGTATCGATGAGAATCGCGAGACACTAATTTAATTGTCGTCAGATTATATTATGACATCAAGCTGCTGCCGGATGGGGGGAGATATAAACTTCACTAACAGTAAAACGGGTGAAAAGGGGAATTGAAAAAGATACCCTAATATTTCGTATTCTAATGGTTAAAATTAAGTGATATACATATAATTTTTTTATTTTTTTATATTATTTGTATATATTATTAAATAAATAAATATATTTAATATTATGAATGATAAATGAATAAAAATAATTAATTATTTAAATAATATGTAAAATTATGTCAAAAATTATTTCTAAATCATTTTTCTAAAATAAATTCAATGATATGCTATCTTATGCAATAGATAAAGTATACATTTACTTAAAATATAATATTTTATTTTATTTCCTATATTTTTTTATTGTTTTGTTTTTGCATCATACTAATTAATTTCTCTAGGTAAGTAAAGAGTCAAGTCTAGTCTGTCTAAATAATATACATTTACATAAAAGAAGATAATAACACAAAAAATTGAACAAATTAAATATAATTTTATAATTAAATATAATATTATAATATTATATGGATACAAAGAACAACTAATTAATTAGGAAAACAATAAGGAGAGAACCCTCGTATTATGAGAAAACAAAGACATTTAAATTAAAAATGAAATTGATTGGAGGTCTGTGTAAATTCATTAGAAGAGTTACCAATAATAATTAAATTAATTTTGGGTTAATTGTAATAATTTTTTTATCTTTGAGATTTATCATGCTAGCTTAATTTCTCCCAGTAGATGAGGTAAGGACACCTAAATATTCAAATGCACACTACAAACTAAAATATAAATAAGCAAAAATAAATTCCAAACTATAATAAAATTGGCTTTACTATTTTTGTGTTTAGCATGCATTGGCTTTACATTCTCATGAAGATTTTTTTTTTTTTTTTGCACATTCAAAAGATTTCTTTTACAATTATCAACAGATGTTGTTAGTGAGATTTTTTTCATTGTTGTTTTGTTTTATAGATTTTTTTAATCTAAAATTTGGTTGTAGGATATATAACTACTTGGATTGCTTTTTCTCAATATGAATAAGTATTTAATTATAACCACCAATTTATTTTTTAGAAAATGATTGGTACATCTTCGGTTCAATATATTTTCTAACACTTATGCTAGTTTAGTTATTAAAATATAACATAAGTACAACTAATTCAGTTGGTTTGTACATACTGGATACATGATTATATTTTTAAGTTTGTTTGCATTTAATTTTAGATAAATAATAGTGATTTTTTAGTAAATGTGTTGTATAATGTGTTGAATTGGAGTATCTACTAACCAGTATCCTTATTTATTTTCCTAATTATGTTACATCTTTTATCTTACTTTAAAGTACTTTGCTACTAAAATTTTTAAAATACTTACGAGTAAATCAATTTTAAAGATATGGAATATTTATTTTTTCATCAACTTTCACTTCACAAAAAAGATTAGAAGATTGGAGTGCAAATATATAGATTGTTGGATGTTTTTAGTTTGAAACGTGATAAAGAACATCTGACTACAGAAATGGTTTTAGCTGATAAGAAGGTAATTTTATGAGTAATTGCATTTGATCTTTTAAATAATTAATGATTTCTATTAACAATAATTATATTTTTTATAGAAAAATTTTATTTATCCTATAATTTCAAGTTCCAACACCTTGCAATTTAAAGATAAATTGGTTGAAAAAAATATTTATTACATGAAAAATTTTCTGTGGAAAAGAATAAAAGCATATATCGTGTTGTCTTTATTACAATTATAGGATCTAATTCCATCTTGACATCATTGTCAGAAAATTGAATGAAGAAGTAGTAATGATCTTGAGATAGGTATTTAAACTCACTTATTATGAGAAAATACTTGAGAAAAAGAAGAAATATTTTTATGGTATTCGTTCTTTTTATCTCAATATAATTTTATTAAATGAACACATGACTCATTTTTATTGAAAATTTTTTTATATGAACCCTAGATGTTATTAGAGTTTTAGTTGGTGTTGAGACTCTACAAGAAAGGCGAGCAAATAGTAGTAATATTGCTTGCATGGAATTACATATTAAAGGTAAAAAGTAATTCATATTAATGTTGTTGCATGATATCGATTTTCATTTCTCTTTGATATATATTTATATCTATCTATCTATATATTATACGGTAAGCATTAAATTAGGCACTAAAATTTGTCATTTTTTTAATTATAAAAAATATATTTTGTTCAAAATAAAAAAAATATAATGTTTTTACAATAAAATATAATAAATATACATATTAATAATATTAGTTTTACAATTTTATCTTCCCATATTCTTCTCTTCCACTTCTTTTCTTAATATTTCCAATTATTTTATCATTATTAGTTTTTATTACATATATAATAAATTAAACCAAAGGAAGATGAATAGATGCCTAATTTTTATGGAAAATAAAAACATAGGATTACAATTTCATTCATCATCATTTATAATACTTTTATAACACTTTCATTCATTATTTATTTTTATCATTTTTTATTTTTTCACCTTATGCACTTTCTTTTCTTTTTATTGGTTGGAAAAAAAAACTAGATAGTGCCTGTGCCCTTGCATGGGGACATATAATGAAATATCTTACATTTTTAATTTTTATGAATTTTTTATATAAGATATTATTTACTATTAAAAATTGAATATAAATTAAAAGTAAATGTTAAATATACTTGCGTAATTTTTAATAGATATCAATGTTTTTTAATTAAAAATTATGTAAACTTTTCATTTGTACTTATGTGTATTGTCACGCATTAATTTAGAGCATCATTTACATTTTTATACAAGTAAAAGGATTTCTATAATATCAAAAAAAAAAAAATAGCGTATAATATGTTTGGGTTGAAGAAAATGAAGGTGTAACACTTTGAATCCCACATCGGTGGGGACTTGTGAGTAGGTTTGGTATACAATTGTGAAAATCAACTACTGTTAATAACTTTCATAGTCATCTCATCAAAGAACAACATAATAAATACTCCATTGTATAAAAAAAGCTACTAAATAAGGAAAGTTTTGTCATATCTCAAAAGAATCATAAATTAAAGATTGTATAAAAATTTGACACATGCATGATTTTCCTTCAGCCATGTCTCCCTTAATGTATAGATAGACATAGAATAGATTTCTAATGCAACATGAACAAATAGTTGAGCCAAACAAAAAAATACCAAATAGAAGATGAAGAGCATCAAATTTAATCAAATCCGACACAATTAACTAAATAGAACTTAAAATTAAAATGGAAATATGTACAATTTTATGAAATGGAATTAATAAAACTTGAATGATATAATATATAAAAGGGGTGGGGTTATAGTTACACCCTAAATAGTTAATATCATATCATTTTAATGTAATCAAAGATTAAAACATTAAAAAAGTACAAGAGGATAAAAAAATACTAAAAATAATTTAAGGACAAAAATATTCAAAAGTTAAAGTTTAAGGACTAAAATTGACAAATAACTTTTCTTTTATCTATTTCTATCTATTGGGTAAACCTTTTAAATTACCTTTCTACATCACCTTTTGACCTCTTCTTGTATCCCATAAAACTCCTCTTATGCACATAGGTCTTCATTTGAAACTTAAATTCTTTGGTTCAACTATTTGCAAGTGTAGCCATGATAAACAACCTGTCCATACCATTCCTTAACCATATATTGTATGTAGTGCAACGAAAGCTTGTATCTAATTTGACATTTTCTATTCTAAGAAAAGAATTGTGAGAAAGAAATTTGCAAGCCCTTTTAGGGGATCTTCATTCCTTCCCCCTTCTTCTAGTAATTTGTCGTTGGAAATGTAGAAAATGGAGCATTCTGGGGAGTGTATGCATGTGTGTGAGCTTAGAAATGAAGAGGAAGTGAGTTGTAGGTAGGTCTAGAGAATTTTAGTGAGTTGCAGCAAGTCTAGAGAAATTTAGTAAGAGAGTTGAGAGGTTGAAGATGAAGATGAAGATGAGAAAAATAAAAAAATGCTTCTAAAGCATGAAGAATGAATTCTTCTTCCTGAAAATGAAGGAAAATGTAAATATATATATATAGGTAGTGGCATTTTGGTATTTTTGGGTTTATAGCCCAGAGTAGCCTAGCAATCCAACAATTAAATATGTATTGGATAAGGACATGTATCAAGTTTTGGGATGATTTGGGCACTTTTTACAAGTTTTGATGGGTAATTATGAATACTTCAATGTTTCCATTAAAGAACTATTACTCTGTTGGAGCCCTCCCATTCTAGGTAACTTTAGATCTATATGTAATACCAAATTTTGAGTGCAATTGAGAAGTGCTTGCAAATCTGTATTGGATGAAGACATGTATCAAGTTTTGGGATGATTTGGGCACTTTTTACAAGTTTTGATGGGTAATTATGAATACTTCAAAGTTTCCATTAAAGAACTATTAGTCTGTTGGAGCCCTCCCATTCTAGGTAACTTTAGATCTATATGTAATACCAAATTTTGGGTGCAATTGAGAACTGCTTGCAAATCTTCTTCTGTCCAAGATTTTAGTACATTTTTCAGACAAAACATAATCTCTTTCATAATTTCCCATGCAATGAAACTTATGTAGCCATCCGTGCATTAAATTCAAGTGCAGGCTAGTGATGGAAACTCAAATGGCATCTCCAATTAGTCTTCAATGGGATTACAAGTCTTCTAGTTAACATTAAATTGTGTAGTTTGGGATTAAGTTTTGTTTCGCAAAATATGGTATTATATTTTATTTCCTATATATTTTTTATTGTTTTTGTTTTTGCATCATACTAATTAATTTCTCTAGGTAAATAAAGAGTCAAGTCCGTCTAAATAATACATTTACATAAAAAAGATAGTAACACAAAAAATTGAACAAACTAATTATAATTTTATAATTAAATATAATATTATAATATTATATGGATACAAAGAACAACTAATTAATTAGGAAAACAATAAGGAGAGAACCCTCGTATTATGAGAAAACAAAGACATTTAAATTAAAAATGAAATTGATTGGAGGTCTGTGTAAATTCATTAGAAGAGTTACCAATAATAATTAAATTAATTTTGGGTTAATTGTAATAATTTTTTTATCTTTGAGATTTATCATGCTAGCTTAATTTCTCCCAGTAGATGAGGTAAGGACACCTAAATATTCAAATGCACACTACAAACTAAAATATAAATAAGCAAAAATAAATTGCAAACTGTAATAAATTTGGCTTTACTATTTTTGGGTTAAGCGTGCATTGACTTTACATTTTTATGAAGATTTTTTTTTTTTTTTACATTCTGAAAATTTCTTTTACAATTATCAATAGTTACTATAAATGAGATTTTTTTCGTTGTTGCTTTGTTTAGATTTTTTTAATCTAAAATTTGGTTGTAGGATATAGTTGCTTGGATTGCTTTTTCTCAATATGAATAAATATTTGATTATAACTACCTATTTATTTTTTAGAAAATGATTGGTACATATTCAATTTAACATATTTTTTAACATTCATCCCAGTTTAGTTATTAAAATATAATATAAGTACAACCAATTTAGCTAATTCCTGCATCTTGTATACATGTTACATTTTTAAGTTTGTTTACCTTTAATTTCAAATTAAAAAATAGTGATTTTTTAATGAATGTGTTGTATAATGTGTTGAGTTAGAGTATGTACTAACTACTATCCTTTTTTTTTTTTCCTAATTATGTTACATCTTTTATCTTGGCAATGCTTTGTTACTAAATTTTAAAATATTTAGGAGTAAATCAACTGCTAAAGATATGGAATATGTATTTTTTCATCAACTTTCACTTAATAAAAATGATTAGAAGATTAAAGTGCAAATATATAGATTGTAGGATATTTTTAGTTTGAAACGTGACAAAGACCATCTAACTACATAAATGGTTTTAGCCGATGAAAAGGTAATTTTATGAGTAATTGTATTTGATCTTTTAGATACTTAGTGATTTCTATTAACAATAATTATTTTGTTTGCAAAAAAAAATTATTTATTTTATAATTTCAACTTCTAACATCTTGCGATTTAAAAATAAGTTGATTGAAAAGAACATTTATCACATAAAAATCTTTTTTTGTGGAAAAGAATAAAATCACATATCGTGTTGTTTTTATAACAGTTACAAGATCTAATTCCATCTTGATATCATCATAAGAGAATTGAATGAAGAAGTCGTAGTGATTTTGAGATATGTATAAACTACTCGAGAAAAAAGGAGAAATCTTTTTATGGTATTTGTTCTTTTTATCTTAATATAATTTTATTAAATGAACGTGTGACTCTTTTTTATTGAAAATTATTTTATTTGAACTCTAGATGTTATTAAAGTTTTAGTTGGTGTTAAGACTCTACAAGAAACAACAAGCAAATAGTAGTAATTGCTTACATGGAATTATATATTAAAGATCAAAGGTATTTAACATTAATGTTAGGTTAAACCCTCAATTTGGTTCCTCAATTTGGTTCCTCAATTATTGTACGAACTCTCGATTTGGTCCTTGAATTAAAAAAATCCATAATTTGATCCCTACTATTTATCTATTTGATCCTATATTGGTCGTTCCGTACAAAAATAAATGATGTATCTCATTGTTAACGTGACACACAGCCATTAAGTAATGATTTTCTGCCATTAAGTAATGATTTTCTGCCATTAAGTAATGGACATGTCAATTATTTTTTACATAATTTTCATTCTTTGTGTAGAAAAGGATTTAATTGGAAGAAATCATAATTTTAGGAGCAAATTACAGAGATCAAAAAACATGAGGATTAAGTTGTGCAAAGTTCAAAAGTTAGGGACCAAGATTGTTATTTTTCCTTTTTTTGCTCCTCGAGCTTAGCGGCCTTCTTAGTATTGGCCAACTCCTCCCTGACCTTCTCGAGCTCGAAAGTCAAATCATTGAAGTTCTGCTTGGCCGCCTCCTTTTATCGGCTGAGCTAGCTATTCTTGTCAGCCAAGTTGTTTCACTCCTTGAGACAGTTAAAGTATTCAACTAGTAAGGCATTCACCAAATTTGCCGTCTGCAAAAGAGCTGAAGTCAAAAACACAAAAAACAAAAAACAAAAAACAAAAAACAAAAACAAAAACAAATACAAAAACAAAACAACAATAGAGCACAAATATGATATCTAGCTCTCACCTCAAAGGCGTGTCGAACTATGACGACTCCTCTGTTCGTGTCCACCTCATCCCAATCTCTTTGCAAATCCACCTTTAGGAAGGTGGATTTAATAAAATGCTTAGCAGTGGTCTTGCTAGAGTCAAAAAAGCGGGACCTCTACTTCGACAGAGAAACAGAGCTCTTCCCCCTCCCATGTGTAACAACCCTCACCTCTCATAAAGCTGGATCAATGTGCATGGACGAAGGCTAAGGCACAAACTCAATCCAGGCCTCAGGTTAAGGCTACTATGCCTCTTCCACCCTCCTCTTCTTACGGGTTGTAGCCTACTCCTCAGCCCTCCTCCTTCTCTACTCCAAGCTGGGCCCCGTTTTAGCTTAAGCTTCTCCACTTTGATGGGGTCTTGAAGTCCCACCCTCCACTCTCTCCTCCACCGTCACTAGAGTAGGGGTCTTGGACCTTTTCTCAAGGAGCCTCACGGTCTTACCCCTAATCATAAGTTGGTTCATCTCTTTTGCAAAACAAAATATAGTTAAAAACTTCAATTAAACCTAACATTCTAAGAAATTTTAGTTCAAATAAAACATACCTCCACTTAGTGAGCTCTTCCCATAGACCTCAATCGCATCTAGCATCTCAAGGCTGGTGAGGTGCATGATGTCTGCTACCTCCTCATCCCCCATTTTCAACCTCTCCACCTCTTTATACTCTCCCTCACTAAGTTTATACTTGTTCGAGTTCATTTTCTTCCTCTTCCACCTACAGAGCTCTTCCACCTCTGCATCTGTTCTCCCACACTCTGTATCATCCGCAAAGAAAAACTTGTGCTTTCACCCCTCGATAGAGGAAGGACCCAAGCTGAAGAGGTTCCTACTCCTACCTCCTACCATTCGAGGTGTGAAGTAAAACCATCCTTTCTCCTTATTACTCCCTCCCTTGATCAAAAAAAAGTGTTTAAACACATTCACTATAGGCATGGCCACATCTCAAGTTCGACAATACACCAAAAACCCCACCACAGGCCTCACTACATCAGGGATAAGCTGTGTCAGTCTTAGACCATAATTTTTTAGTAGTGCAACCAACAGCTCTGGAATTGGACATCTGAGCCCAGCCACCATGTAGTAAGCATACAAAAGCATCCAATGATCATTTGGAACTAAGTAAGCTCGTTCCTGGTCCCAGCTGGTCTCAACAACACATGAAATGGGGTGCCATAGTTCTCCACCAAATAAATGATGCTACTTTTGCTCTTCTAAAAAGACTCGTATCCCATCACTTCTCCTACCATGTCCTCCACCTCGTTGTAGCACTTACCCCGGCTATTATCAACATCTAGGATGGTAGATGGAATCACCTCTCCTTCTTCCTCCCCACTTCTCCCACTTCCTCCACTCCCTTCACTTCTAGAGGTTCCAACTTCATTACCACTTTTGCTCGAGCTTAGCTCTTACACCTCTTCCTCCCCTCCAATACACACTATTTCCTCATACGACATCTCTTCCATCTCGTAACTCTCACTACAAGGGGTAGGAGGTGGAGAATAATTAGGATCCTCTATAATCTCTCCTTCACATTCTATTTCACTCTTTGATCTAATCCTAACCTCCCTAACTAAACTTAACCCTAAGTTTGAAGGAGTTACTACTATGTCAAACAACTCACTTAAACCAAAAGTACAACTCATGGGGTTACCTGAATTTGTGATTGTTGAACTAAAACACTAGGAAGATTTTTGAGTAACAAACACTCCTCTAGGACTAGAAGCTCAAACTCGGCAAGCGTAAGCTAAAAGGACGAGGTGCTCTAATACAATTTCGGTTGTACTTTGCTTCGAATTCAGCAAGGTAAACACAAAATTACTTAAGTGCCCCTATTTATACTGAGGCCTTAATGCCTTCAACGGTTACAATTGTTTGCATTCAACGACTACGATTGTGTCTCTTCAAAGTCGGTAGTTATTTCCAACTGCGCCCATTTATTACAGCACGTCACACGAGGACAGTTGTCAACTAACAGATTCACTTCCTTTCAGTTACGTTACAAAGGCCGATCCAAATCCAATGTAACTATTTTAACTACCTTTTAAATGTATTCACACTTGGTTATCAAATTTTTGCTTCAACTCCGGCCAAGAATCACATGACCACATGTCATGATATTTTTACTTCAACTCTGGCCAAAAATTACATGACCAAATGTCATGATACCTTCACTTCGGCTTCGGCCATGAATTACATGGCCACATGTCATGATATTTTCACCTCAACTCCAACCAAAAATTACATGACCACGTGTCATGATACCTTCACCTCGACTCAAGCCACAAATTTCATACCCGTTACCCACACAACTCCCATATCATTCACAAGTGAATGACTTCCAAGGGAATAGTGTGATGATAGTCCGAGGTCACTTACCTCGAGCGAGCTAAACTATTTCAAACGTATGACCTCGAGGAGACCACTTGAAGCCAAGCGTGATAAGCTCAGTCGAGGTCGAGCTCGTCCCCTTTGAACTTGCTCTACAGTAACTCTGTACATACTCAAATTTCTTATTAGAGATTCTACGATGATTGACACATATGATCTTGGTTTTTCGTGAGAAAGAACGCGTGAACAGCCCTTTGAAGCCTATAAATACCCCCAATGGTCACCCCCAAAAGGTAATTGAAATCGGTCTCAAGCTTAGTACTTGTGTTTTATTGAGTTGAGCTGAATATTGCTCATTTAGGCATTGGAGTGTCTACCCCCGAGAACCAACCTCAAGCTTTGCACGTTATCCGAAGAGAAGACCTGAGCAAGAGGAGAATTTGGAATTCTTTGCAACTATAACACAATAATTCATTGCAGATGAAACTAATTATGAATTAATTAATTCTCTTTGGAATATATGGGGGAACTAGATTTCTTATTCAAAGTTGAGATTGTTGTAGGCATTTGCTCAGTGCTTTTGGTTCCATTTTAGCTTTTTAATCAATTAATTTATCAGGCTTAAGCTTATAATCGCTGTGGTATTATAATGCAAAATTTAAGATATGAGTGAAAGCTACTTTGAATAGGTACTCTAAAACTTAGTTTGACAATGCTATTTACATTATTTTTTACATCTATTTATAGAACTTTTTGTAATTTATGCGTTTGGTAAATTATTCATTCTTATTTTTTCAAAAAGAATAGAAAGGTCATTTTATCCAAAATTAATAGAATACTTAAATAATTTTATAAAATTTCTAAATCTTTTCTGTATATTATATATTAAATTATTAATTAATTTAATTTTAAATAATACTATCTCTAATTGAGTAATTTTACAATAGATAGTTTTTAAAAATATAATTACCAAATACTAAAATGTTTTTCGTGACAATACAATATAACACTTTTAATAATTACAGTTATAATTACAGTTATAACGCAGTACCGAACAATGTTGTCAAACTAAACCTAAAACTTGGCTAATGGGGCCACACTTGTAGGCAAAATTTTATATGGATTGGGATGACAACTAATTGTATTTAGTTTTCAAAATTAGGTCAAATTAAAAATTGATAGAATCTAATAAAGTTATATGATCTAAATAAATCTAAATTTTATTTTAGTGAAGGTGAGTTTTTTAATGGAGGTGTCCAAAAGATAATTATAATGGATTAAGGTCCTCTCTTTCATTTAAGAAACCCTATCTCTATAAATAATGGAGTTAACAAGTGATATGATCTATCAGTTTTTACCATATAAAAATTGAATATGGAAGGAAAGACTTAAGTGTCAATACTAATTCTATTTATTTTGTAGAATGAAATTATAATGATGATCAATAATTTTTGAGTAAGATATTAATTATGAAGATCCGGGTATGTAGATCTAGGTAGTATCATATGAGGGGCACATCTCAATATTACCAAACTCTCCGAATTTCTAACCTGAATTTTTAAATTTTGGTTTGAATGTTTTAGATATACGAATAAATTTAGATAAAACCAAAATAACTAAAATTAATTTTGATTCAGATATGGGTCAATATCTATATTCGAAATTACTAATATGAGCCACAAAATTATCTAAAATTTTTTAATGATATAAATTTATTTTATTTTTTTCTTTTGATTTTTGTGCTATATGAAAATTTTTTAGATAAAATTCTTTTTTTAAAGTCAAATTTCTATAGAAGAATAGAAAGAAAAATACTATAAATAATCAAAATAAAAAAAAACTTTTAATGACAAAAAATGAAGAATAATGATATTTTTTGCTTATTTTTGTTAATTAATTAAATTATCTGAATAATTTTAAATAACTAAAATCACAACTAAATTAAAATTTTTGTTCAGATTAACTATAAAAATCTTATCTAAAATTATTTTAAATAGTTAAAAATTCAGTTCAATTCTCACAATCCAAATCAAGTGTCCATCCCTGGAATTATATGGATCCTTAAAATTCAAACAAAACTCTCCTGGCATTATCAAGTCCGGGGAATGCAAAATAGGAATCATGGTACTCTAACATATGAATCTTTATTTTGATATAAATTTCATGTTGTTAGCTAGATGGATGCCGGGTCTTACGCTAATTTCATGTTTCTGGAAGATTAAATGGTTTCATGACATCCTTGGTTTTACAAGGCATACTTTATGCTGGACAGGATTTTTCTGTTCTGGTTTGATTTCTTTGCTCCTCGTTTTTTTTTTTTTTTCTTAATGATGTGATTTTGGCCTAATCAATAAGTGTTAACTATGGTTTTTTTTCTAAATTATTAGGTCGTATATTCTTATTTGCAGACATAAACAGAAATTTCAACTGCATTATGTTTCCCTAAACTTTCTTTTACTGCATTAACGGCAGCCCCGTCTATCCTGGCTACCGCAGTCAGTCACTTCTAACGGTAAGGGTTAATTAGTTGCCTTTTATTAAGTTAAGGGCTTATTCACTTATGTTTTTTAGTATAGGGGCTTATGAGCTAAAATTGGGAAAGTTGAGAGGCTTAAAGAATTGTTTTGCCTGGTTAAACGGATTCAGGTTCATCTTTCGCTTTAACACCTCCCGATTAGGGTTTTGAATTGAAGCGGGCAATCCCAAAGAAATGGGGTCGAGAGGAGCGAGCGTGTTGTTGTCGAGGGCCAGCAGAATCAAAACGAAGCTGCAATCGACGCTGGAGGCTAGCATCATAGAGGTGGAGGACGTATCACACCAACACGCCGGGCACGCCGCAGTCAAGGGTACCCAAGGGGAGACTCACTTCAACGTGAAAATCGTATCTCCCAAGTTCCAGGGGCAGAGCCTGGTGAAACGTCACCGGATGGTGTACGACGCCCTGGCGGAAGAGCTTCAGTCCGGGTTGCACGCCCTATCGATCATCGCAAAGACGCCAGAAGAAGCCGCCCCTAAATGACCCGACCCGACCCGGTGACGATGGTTTCTGAAATTCTAATCGTTTAATTTGATAATGAATTGGTATATTATAGACAGCGAATCTTGATTATAATTCGCAGATTAAGGAGTTAATTTTGCTTATTGAGTGTTCTTACCTTGTAGCACTTAGCACCAATTATACCATATCTTCAATAATTCACTTGGTACCATTCCAAGAAATGGAAAATTTAAAAAGTTTTTCAAGTTTGAGTGTTGTCTTGCACTACCTCCAAACATTTTATCCAATTACATGATATCCAATTACATGAATAAAAACAATTTTTTTGATGCTTAACAAAAAAATCTTTACCCATTTAATCCTAATATTTACACAGAAATGGGAAATAATTTTAGTTTTCAAACTAGATCAATTACAAATTTGATCTAAGCATGTTTATCAGTGAGTTGAATTCAAATAGCTAGCAAGCTGTCCACCCATTTCCACCATATTTTTCAGAACACCTCATAAATGATGTGCAGACCTCATAAACGATGTGCAGATGTTATGCTATACATTATTACTGGAGACAGAACAAGCTAATAAGAGAAAAAAAAAAATGGAAGGAAAATGATTAGGAACAGTGGTTGTCTGATAAAACTTTTTGTGAAATGGAAAACATTGCAGTCTGGAAAGCTGCCAGAAAAAACCGCCCAAATTAAGAAAAAGAAAAGAAAAATTAATGCCAAATATTTGGGCGTTGTTTTAGGGATTTTCGTTTTTCTTTTCTCGTCTTTATTTATTTATAGCCAGCGGTTTTGTTCCCCTGTAAATATGTTAAGCCACAAAGCTAATTAATCTTTCTCCCTCTCAGCCCCCTCTGCATCTCTCTCTTCTTCTTCTTCTTCACCGTTATTCAGTTCAATTTCAATTCAGTGTTTTCAACATTGAAAACCTAAAAATGAACGGCAAAGCCTCCATCTCTAAGGAGCTTAATGCAAAGCACACTAAGGTATGTCTTTCTTCTTCCTCTATTTCAATTTTTTTTTTTAAATATTTTGATAGTTTTTATTTCATGGTTGAATTTTCAATTTGTGTTGCTAAAAAAGCTAATAAGACTTAGAAACAAATCTTATTGATGCACACAATGGATAGATTATTTTCAGCCAAATGGAAGTGATTTTATTGGGAATAATCTCCCAGTTATCTTGATCTATATGAATTATTACTCATTTTTGCTTGTAGCTAGCTATGATGACTGGCACAACACTTATTAGCGGTGTTGTTATGATTGTAATTATATCATTTTGTATTCTTATTTGCATTGGCAGATCTTAGAGGGCCTCCTTAAGCTTCCAGAAAACAGAGAATGTGCTGATTGTCGAAGCAAGTATGGATTCAAATACTTTTCTGCTGTTTTTATTAACATCAAAATCGTCAAGTACTTAGATCTTTTGATAATGTTTAGAATATTGTTGCAGTTGCAAAGTATTATGATCAGTATCTCTTGAACGTAGCTGAATCATGCATGTCTTTGGTAGTGCTAAATTTGCATTGTTCTCCTGGTGATGGCTTTTAGAGTGTTCTACTTAAAAGATTTTATTTTATTGCAGTTGGTTCCAATAACTGTTTATGATGTGGTAGAATAGACCAAATAATATATCTTATGAGTGACCATTATAAAAAGAGAATCAATTATCATTAGAACAGAAAAGGAACCAAAGCAGCCACGTTTTGACCACTTGAAAGAGTTCATAGGTGATGTCTAAGGAGAGGAAAAAAAGGGGGTAGAAGTGTTGCATATACATAAAGTTAGAGAAACATGCTAGAATTACTGGGTTTCACATGAACTTTCCCTTGATATTGTGTGTCAATGGAAAGAAAGGTTCATAACTTGCAACATGATCATCACTAGTCATGTTTACTAACTTGAGGAAAGAAAATTTTAAAGTATGTCCTTGAACCCAAAAATCAATTTGGTTCATTCCCTCAGCTACTGACTTATAGCTCTACTTGTTTCAGTGGCTGAGAATTGAGTCATATCCAAAATTGCTCTTGCTTGCTTCTCTGTCCTCGATTCAATTAGAAATCATAGGGAATATGCTTTTAAATTATAAGGGCTATGTAAGTTTTGGAATCCTAGTTGCACCCCTTCAAACTGTTTCATCAGGCTCTAGAATGTTGCTTCTACTCTCCCTTTCCACCCCCAAGTTTGGAATAAGGAAACTATTTCACTGTTGATAGTTGTAAGTTTGATTTTTTGTTTTGCTTCTTCAAATTCGCTATTTCTTACCAAATGAGAAGTGCTCAATTTCTAGTTTAATCTTCCAGCATAATGTGTATTCATTTCAGGGGTCCGAGATGGGCTAGTGTAAACCTTGGAATATTCATATGCATGCAGTGTTCGGGAATTCATCGTAGTCTTGGAGTCCATATCTCACAGGTTTACATCTGCTATCCTTATCTATGTTTTATTTAGCTTTGTATTGTCAAACATTGTATTGCTTTTATTTTTATTTTGACTGTATTCTTTGATAAGTCAATATATCTAGCAATTTTTCAGTTGATAAATTAGTACAAGCTGCAAGGTTTGGTATTTGAGATGTCCGAAATCTTTTGACATTTAGCAAACCAGACTCAGTGGATATTTTGTTTTTGCTTCATCCTTTGTGACCCTTGTAGCAAACAACCAATGGCAACTTTGCAACCCATGGTTATTGTTGTGATCTATGATCTTTAAGTTATGATGATAAACCCTGTCATTTTGCAAGATGGGAATAAGAAATTTGTTGCATTTGTAACTATAATTATTTTTCATGTTACATTATAACTATACTTTTTTATTTTTTATTTTTTGGCCAAGTTCCATTATTACTATAGTAGTGATTACTTTTTCTATAATATAGTTAGTCTCGTTACACTTATAACCATATATTATGTTTTCAGAACTTCTGCATGGGTTCAGTTTCAACATTAATGCTGTTGGATTCTCTGAAAAAAAAAAAAAAAAGAGAGAGAAAAGGAAACACTTTATTGACTCACTGTAACTGTTGATTTTCCTTACATAGAATACAAACATCTTCCTTATTTTGATCAAAATCATATTTTGAAAACTTGAAAAAACTTGACAATTAGATGGTATCAAAAGCAGCGAAAGGAGGGTCTAGCAGAGCTGTGCAGAAAATAAATGCATTGGCTTGTACTTGATGCAACTTCTTTTCTCTTCCATCATGATATAGAAGGTATGCACAGCAGTAGGCGGGACAATGTGATGCAGAAATGTCTATGATGATCAACCAATTTTGGTAAAGAAATTGGGGTTTTTGAGTACAGATTGCACAAAAAAAGTGCAGTTCGGGTACTGAAATTGCCAGAATACCATTAATGAATGAAAATGGAGAGTCATTTCAGTACCCAGACTGCACTTTTTCTGAGCCGCATGTACTTGAAAAAACATTTCTATTTGGTAAAAGTTATATATCTACCATCATTGGAAGGCTTTTAAGTATGTGATGAGAAATGACGTGGACTGACCTAATGAGAATTATTGCTAGGTAGTTCATAGGACAAGGTTACTGATGGAGTTGAAATGCAATTAAGGCTTTTCTCATGGCAAGTTGAGTATCCTCTTATTATGTTTCAGAGAAAAAAGTATGATAACTGACAATAGACAAAATGTACTTTGTGTGTGAATTATATTAGGAAACTAATGTATAAATATAGAAGTAAGGATTTGCAATTACCATTTTTACTTAGTTCTTGTTAAGTTTCAAGTACGATGCCATTCTATACCTTCAGACTAAATTCACTTAGCATGAACTATTTTCTCTAGTAATATTATTATTGCTAAATATGATGGTGGATTTTCATTTTGTGGTATAGGTACGGTCTACTACTTTGGATACATGGCTACCAGAACACGTTGCTTTTATGCACTGTAAGAATACTTTGTGGTTCTTTTGTGATAAATGAAAATTCATGGACAATATGAGAAAAAGGCTTCAATTGAGTAAATATATGAAACCTTCTGATGTAGCATAGATTATGTATATATTTCCTATGAGGTTTGCCAGTTAGTATTGAAGAAATTTATGGTTTTTTAGGCTTTTTAATGTGGTAAACAAAAGAGTAAGTCAATTAATTGTAATTGGGAAAGAGAAGAGAGGTTTATCATGCTGTTCATGTGCAGTGAACACCCAAGCATTCCATTGCAAAGGGTAAGTGATAAAGAAGAAGCAAGAAAGGACCTAGCTATCCATAACACTGAAAGCTCTCCAAAATCCAGATAACTCAATATTCTTATATAACTTAATTCAAATAAGTAATAACTTGCAAAGTAAAGAAATATTGATATGAATCAAAATACATGTCCTATTTTTAGAAGGGGTGAGGTTATTTCCATGGTGGTTCTTGCTTAGACATGCAGATATTTAGCTAAAATCATGTAAGGTCCACATGAATTTGGTCATAGGGTGCATGTTTCTAGCCAAAATTGGAGTGGGAATAGGAATAAGTTGAATTCAGATAAGATAAGGACTCCAAATAGACTAAGGACTCTCTTCAAAGAATTATTGCCCTAATATAACCCTATGGATCAAAAAAATAAGTCCATTACATAAAATCCCATGGAATGACCTAGTTGTTTAAATTATTACCCTTTTCTGATATTATTATATTCTGCCTCTTAAAATTCTAGTTGCTTGAATTTTCCTGTTCAGGAAATGTGGTTCTTTGACTATAAAGTAAACTTTTACATTTTTCTTTTGATCAGTCAGCAAAGTAAACTTTTACAATAATAAGTGATTCTTGATTGTTTTGATTCTTGTTTACTGAAACATTGCAAGCCTCATGGCCAATTACTACAGTTCGATGCTTATTGTTTCTCAACTGTTCTGTCTGTTATATAGCAATGGGTAATCAGAAGTCTAATAGTTTTTGGGAAGCAGAACTGCCGCCTGATTTTGACAGAAGTGGAACTGGGAAATTTATCCGATCCAAGTAAGATGTCTTCAGAAGTTTATTATTTGTCGTATGAATGTGAAACTAGATTGTTTATTATGTTTCTCACTCTCAGGTACATGGACAAAAGATGGGTTCGTTCTGGGACAACACAACCAATTCCAGCTTTTGGTCAGATTAGCAATAACATCAACCATTTTGTTGAAGGTGGAGTCAGAAATGGCCTTACAAGGAAAACAAGGACACTTTCACTTGATGAAGAGATTCTTACTAAGCACATTGCAGAAACACAACTTCATTCCCCAGCATTAAAATCCCGTGCGGTATGAAGAAAAGTTCGTTATGTTGATTCTATTATGTTTGGTAGTAGTTTATTGGCAAATAGAATCTGTCTAGATTGGTAAATTCTTTTGATTCTTTACCTTAGATTTCTATGCTTTTCTAGTGTCTGTAAATAGAAGGGTCTAAAGCTGAACATGGTTGCCGCTTATATATTTCTCAAAGCTGCACAAATATAATCCTTACAATCAGTTTATTTCTCAAAAACTCCAAGGACATGGCAAAGCTTTATAAAGCTGAGGTTAACTCATTCGTCAGTTTAATATAGCTCTTTTAGCATTTTATTACTCTATGATAGAATTTGTGAATGATATGTCTGCAACTTCTAATAATTAGCCTAGACATTGGTTTACCACTTCTAGCTTTATTTTCTTTTGTTACTGCAAGTTGCACATTGAAGTTGCTAAATCCATAACAATTTTAAACAAATAATTAGATATATTAGAGTAACATATTTAGCAACTCTTTAAATTGGAAATTAGTATCTTTAAACAATCATTTTTTGAGAGTTTTCTTGAATTAACTTCAATGACTTCAGATTTTAATGTTCCGTGAAGGTCTAATTTTTCCTGTACAGGGTTCTGCCGATATGAAGATTAAGTTCATTGCTTCTCCTCTTCCAAAGGGACCAAATTTGACCGATAGCAATGCATCCACAAAGATTAATGGAACAACAGATCCTTTCAACTTGTGTAATTTCATCGCGACAAAGCATGATCAGACTAATGAGATTCCCCCATGCTGGGCAACTTTTGATTGTTAGTATAATAGTTTATTGAATGAGCATTCTTAAAGTTATTCTTTCTTACTGAAGAACTTGAGGAATATACAGTTTTTATGTGTGATTTAGAAATGAAAATTTGCTGAAGATCTATCAAGTATCAACCACTGAAGATCTATCAAGTATCAACCACTGATAGCCTTGAATGCATGTGCCCCCATGTATTGTATTTTAATGCATTGTTATGAATTCTGCCACAACAAGTTAAAGTAAGGTCTCTGTTTGCAGGAATATAGCTCACCATGTTGAATCTATTCGTTGATGTCTTACTAACTGCTGGAAAACAAAGACAGACTCATGGAGTGGTGCTCGTTCTTAAGGTTAGGTTTGCTATCCCAATGTGATGTCAGCTGACTTTGCTCCAAACAGATAATATGAAGCATTGCAATTTGTGAAGTTTGCATTTCCTTCCGGCTTTCAAGAGTAGTGACTTTGTTTCACTGAATATGTGCCTCTGCCAAGCAGTAGTAGGAGTTGCTTGTATAGCCATGAACTGTCTAGTCTAGCTAAAATTTTCTGTACGTGCTTTCTCTTTGGTTATATTTACTATTGCAGTTTAGCTTGCAGCAGCGATTTTACCATTTCCAGAACTCCACGGCGAGCAAATGCGTTTTTTGTTACCAGATGATTTTGTTTTGCCCAATTGCAAAATCAGTCATCTTCTACCATAATATATATATATATATATGTTGGTAAATTGAATGATGGATTCTGTACAAAAGAGGATAGCCCTCCCCTTTTCAGCTTTCCCAAATTCTTTCCCACTACTCAGATTGAGAACCTAAATTGTTCAATTTAAAATCTTAAGTTACCTTGCTCTGTTTTGGTTGTTTTGGCTTTTTTTTTTTTAATTATTTTTATTCCGGGGATTTGGCCATCTCAGTGCTGTGTTTTGTATTAATACTATGGATGTGGTCCTGCTGATGGGCTTGACATCACATTTATTATATTCTTAAAACGCTGAGGGTTGGTTTTGATGTTAGATTCTTCAAACTCAGCTTAATTCCAGCAAACAAATCTTTTATTTCCTTTTGGAAAGGTTGATCGTTAAAATAGTTTAATTTCTGGAGGCACGGTAGTAATTCTGGTTTGCAGGTCCATAATCTGATTAATGCTATTTGTTTAGAGATTACTGAATTTTTTTGTTATTTTTTAGTTTAGTTTCTGTTTACACCTAAAATAAAACTAATGGGATGAGGCCATGTGTTAGGTTTAGGTCCGGTCATTGGGGAGAGTTAGCAGGTTGAATTGGGCTGGGTCAGCTTAAAGTTTTATGGCTTAGACGGAATTTAAAGGGAGTTGGATTTATGTTGTAGATGATGAGGTGGTTTTTGGTGGTTGAATTTGATTTAAATTAGGAAGTTGAGAGTTTTTAAGAGAAGATATTTCTAGGGTTTTATTAGAGTTAAAATTGAATTAAAACTGTCAGCTACAAAACAAAGGAAAACTGCCTCACACGTGGAGCACCCACTATTCGTGTATGGTGAGAAAGGGTCGAAAACCATGGAAGAAGGTTCCCAGCATTGAAGAAAAGGAAAATAGAAGGAAAAAATCAATGCTACATGGCTTGCCCTACAGAAAACTGCGTAACGCATGTGCTTTTTCAACTTTTAGATTGTTTCTTCCAAATTTCAACATAATTTCCAGGTTAGATTACTAGATCTGTTTTTGTTTATAGTTTTAGTTTAGGTTTTTTCATCCTTGTTTGTATTTTTCCTTAAACATTGCAACTTTGGTTAGTTTTTAAGGATTTGAAAGCAAATTAACCTTGTAAATGGGTTTGTCCCGTTGATTTGGTTAATTTTTTTTTCTTTTATGGATTTATCTTTGTTATTTGTTTATGTAAATATGTTGAATGCTTTTTGCTTTCTTTTCTTTGCTCATGTGCAACTGCCAGACTTGCAGCTTGTTTAATTTCAATTTTGAGATTTAATTTTACAAGTTTTCAGACTTTGATCATTTTGTAGATTCTCTTTTAGTTTTAGCAATCAAGTAGTACAATTATTTTTATTTTAAATCTGCAAGCAATTAATTTAATAGTTATGGATTACATAGTTAAAATCGTTGTCTGTGATTTTACACAATCTGTTATCAATGAATTTATTTCAATGGCATATTATTTTTTTATTAATTTCGTGTTAAGATAATTACCTTAGAATATTATGTTAAATTTAGGATTTGTAATTTTTGTTACACTTTAATGATCGTAAAATCCTTGGAGATGTTCAAGGTAATTAGTAATCCATTTTGCAAAGCTCCACCTTTTATTTTGCAAAGCTCCACCTTTTATTTTGCAATGTTGTTTGGAGCATAGTTTAGTTCATAAGCGTTCTTTCTAGTCATTCTTTTGAAAGTTGATCATTGGGAAGGAGGATCATCTGCAAAATCTTATTTTCTTATTTTTAGACAAATAGCATGCCTTATTCTAAACTCGCGTGGTTAAAGTTCGCTAAGGATTTTTGCGGAAAGAGTTTCTATTTGTTCGAGGGTGTTAATATCTTGGTGTTTTATTAATGTTAGTAGCAAAAGAGTTCTATCTTTTATCTTTTTTTAAGAGAATAATAAGAAATAATTCTCGTTATATTATATGCTTCTAGCAAAGAAAAATAAAAAATTAAAATATTTTAATATTAAAAATATCAAAATATTTAATAATAATCACATAATAAATTTAGTAAAATTATAATTTATGTTATACTTCACGTATGTAATGATAGTATGTTCTTATTTTTACTTTTCTCTTTTAGTAATTGCCTCCTTTTTCTCTTTCCTTTTTCTCTTTCAGTAATGGCTGACGCCTGACTACGCAATTAACGAGAATCGACACAGGCCCGTTCCCATCCTTATTCCCATATGTTAAAACGCCCAAGATAGGGTATAATTCCATTGCCTATTCTCAAAAAAAAAAAAAAAAGAAAAAAAAAGGTATAATTGACTCATTATTTAACATTACCTATAATTACCAAAAAGAAAAATAGAACATTACATGTATTCATGATTTCTAAGACCCAAATCTAAAAGGTGCAGGAGTAAAAATATAAATAAGTTGAAAAGTATGATAAAATTGGATTACAAATTTTACTATTTTTTCTATTTGAAAATATAAATTTTGCTAGTTTTTAAATAATGTAGTAAATTTTTAATTTTTTTATTTAAAAATATCAATTTTGATTTTTTTTTTATTTAAAGATTAATTAAAGAGCTAAAAAAGCACTTGTCACATAATATCACCATTCAATTAATCTTTAAATAAAATGTAAAGTTGATATTTTTAAATAAAAAATATGTAAAATAAGTATTTTTAAATAAAAAAATTAAAAATTTATCGTTTTAATTAGTAACTAACAAAATTTACATCCTTAAATAAAAAAATAACAAACTTTGTATCCTTATTTCTATGTTTTCTCTTATAAAACATTACACATAATTATCAAAAAGAAAACTATAACATTACATACACTCATGATTTCTAAGACCAAAATCTAAAGGAAGTGCAGGGGAAAACATAAACAAGTTGAAAAGCATGTTGAAATTGGGATGATACTTTGATGAAAAGATCCTGAATTAGCTTAGCAGCAAAGTTTGTAGCAAGCTTCAAAATCAAGCAAAATGCGCAAGCATACATACAAAAGCCACTCAGCCACCACTGCTCCCACCGGTGATCAGAGTCCATGGCCGATGGGACCCCTCAACAGATACCTCCCAACTCCCATCATTCAATAATCCAATGTATGTACCCATTTCCTTAAATAAAATACAAGATCGAGATAAGGCGGAGCACGGCCAAGGTGGTGGAGCCCCACCACTAGACCTAATTCCACCGCCACTCTAAGGAGTCCACATAACTAGCCCCTTAATTTTACATGTGCAAGTCTCCATCTATAGGCTTAAGGAGACAACCAAATCTTCAAAATAAAAAAATGAAAAATTTCATCCATTTTTTACCAGTGAAAACTGAGTTACTTGGAATTGTGAATCGTAGTTTAAAATTTATCACAAATAAAACAAAAACAATAATTTCATTTAGTTCAGGGCCATGCACCGGTGTCAAGAAAACTATTAATAAAGTTCTTAAGAAAATTAGAACAGTAACAAGTAGAACCTATTAATAAATGCATGTCTTGTAAATAAAGTTTAGAGCTTAAGTTTTAGGGTCAACATTCAAATAAATTAGTTTCTTTAAATCCACCAAGTTAATGTGGGAGTGTGTAGTTGAGAATTGAGATCACGTAGAAAAAGACTAATTTTGAGATATGCAAAAACTAATTCAGAGACATATTGACTGCGAATACTAAAAAAATTTAAGAAAATTAAATTTTCTTAAATGCATCCTTGTCAAATTATCTCTTAAAATCATTCTAAACTTAATTTTGAAGTAGGTGCAAATTGGTTAAGAACAATTACCTAACCACTCAAATCATAAATAAAACTTAAGAAGAGTCATGATCAACTTATATTAGTATGATTTATACTATAATTTACATTAGTAAATAATTTTTGTGTAGTTCATATTTTGTCAAACTAACTTATTAGATTTAATATTTCATTTGTGTAGATCTTGCATGCCAAATTTCAAGGTAAGCTGATATTTGTAACCATATGAATGAGATTCTATTTTTTTTATTATTTATTTAACAATATAAAAGTAAGTATAATTATGAAATAATTAAACACATTTAATTATTTGAAATTTAACATGCATAAATTAAATGAATAGAAATATAAATTGTACAAAAAAAGAAAAAAAAATTATTGGTTGGTGTTAGTAATCATGTAAGTTACGCCCTAAACTAGAAAATGTGCTTATAAGCCCCATTACTCCTTGAATGATGCAAATCAGTCTTCTTGATAACATTACCGATCAAAAAAAACGTCTTCTCGATAACATCATTCATCAACGTTGTTTGCCGTGTCGGTTAAACTTAACGGCTACCGTTAGAAGAAATAATTAGTTACAATTTAGTCCTTTAATTTAATTTGTCAAATTAAAAAAAAAAAAAAGAGTTTCTAACTTTTAATAAAGTACTAAAAACGACATTTTTTGCAATTCAAGTCTTTTTCTTATTAATTCAATTTTGACATTGATGATCCCATTCAATTAAATCGTCCATTAATCTAGAGCACCCACCTATCAATTTCAATTAATAAAGGAGAAAATAAAGAGAAGAGAGAGTATGCAGAAACCAAACCGCAAAGAAGATCGTCTCCTCCTCCTCAAACTCTGTTGTCCCATGGGTATTGAGTTAGTTTGGCAGGTGAAGTTTGCAGCAGAAACACTCCTGTGTAGACTCATTTTGGATTTACTTGAGAGAAAGGGGAAAGTGAAATTGCCAAATAAGATTTGGTTGAGAGGAAGAATGAAGTTTGGTGACTAGTGGTCGATGGCCTGTGGTGGCAATAACACAGCGATCGCAAAGCAAAATGGGTGACATATTTTAGGAGCAGAAGGTGCAATTCAGCCCTTGCACTTGCAATGTTTAGCCCCTCTTGTTCACAAAATCCTCAAAACAACCATTTTTGTAAAGATGACATCATCCAATCGTTTAAACCATTCCATTGCACGTTAAATTTTGATGAATTGGTGCTAACTAGGCAGTGACATGAACCAAATTCACTCTAAGTTAACTAACTTGGCAATGTAATGTTCAAAAAATTATTCAAAGATAATTTTTTGTATCATTTTTAGTATAACTTTATATATCATTTAAATAATTAATTTTTTTATTCATTTAGAGCTTGTGATATTAAGTTGATCTACTTATTTAATTATATGTGAAAATTATATATAAAAGTTATACAAAAAAATTATCCTTGTCCCTAAATCACTGTCCATGGTATTTTAAACTAGGTTGAGTGAATTTGGCCCACATCATTGCCCAACTAGTGCCCATCAAGCACCAACTCATCTAACTTTAATACGCAATGGGACAATTTAACAATTGGATGATGTCATCTTTACTAAAAGGGCTGTTTTGAGGATTTCGTGAAGTAAAGGGGCTGATTTGCCATGATTCAAAGTATAGGGACTGATTGCCATAACATTGTAAGTACAAGGGCTGAGTTGCACCTTCTGCCTATTTAGGTCTATGCCATACCACACTGCAGTGGGACTGATGTATTTCTCTTTAGCGGTGAGTGTGTTCTCGTGTGAACTTATGCATACCTCAATATTAACACTTTTTTATTTCAATCAAAGGCAGGTTATTTATATTGAATCTAAAGAATTCATGAGAAATTAATTATTCATTTGTTTTCTCAAAAAATTAAATTTTAGTTAATAAGATGAGAAGCAATCCCTTATCAACTAAGTCACAATTTTTTGAGTTTTCTTTTATTTTTTTTGGCTGAGCCAATTAAATACGTTAAACAATATTTTTATTAGGGGAAAATACAAAACTTAACATATTTTTAATTCGAAATTAATGTAATTTTAACTGCTTTTAATTGAAATTGATGGGTGTGTGTTCTAGACTAATGGTTTTTAAATTGATTTATATAAGTTAATTGGGATATCAATGTTAAAGTTAAATTGATGATAAAAAAAAAAGTTCAATTGTAAAAAAATGTGTCATTTTTAATATTTTGTTAAAGTTTAGGGATTTGAAATTTGTTTAAAGATTTTTCTATCTTATATTTTAAAGTCATAGATGAAAAGTGTAAATATATTTACTTAAAAAATAATAAAAGTTAACCTTTATTTTAACACAATTTTGTGTATTGCCATGATCAAGTGCTTGTGCAACAGAAGATGCAACTCAGAACATACATTTTTATTTTATTTTATTTTAATACAATTGATGACACATAAATAATTTTAATTGATTAATTAATTGATTAAACAAAAATCGATATTTAAATTCTTCTTACAAATTAATTCTAAAAAGGTGCAATAAGGGTGCAGGTTAGAAAAATTGTTTGATTAATTGAAGAACTTAATTGTAATTAATCATTCTTTTTAACGGTTGCCATTGAGTTTAACGACACAACAAACACGGTTGATGGACGA